AATCTAGGTTGCTTGGCCTAACCAATATTTGTGTATTTGCACGTCCTTTCACCATATGCCTTTGGTGCTCTAAATCAGCCGTTTTAATCCGAATGACAAAAAAACTAAAATAATCCATTTTTACTCTTAGTTGAAGCTGTAGTGAAAATGTTAGAACGATAGCTTACGTGACTTTTTGCGAAGGCGTGCGCAAAATTTTTTAATCAAATTTCAGAGGTTTTTGTTAAATAACTTTGCACATAATACTTACATTTAGACCAAATTTGACACCTAATTGTAGGTTGTAAAGATCATCAGTGTACGAAATTTGAAAAAAATCCTTAAAAGTTAAGTATGTTCCGTACTTTTGGGGGGGAGAAAAAATAGGAAGAACTTAAATCAAAATTGTACATTTTATATTTCATGTATTTCTTAATGGATGGATTTGGACTTTGCTATGTGAAGTAAGAGTGCATTAAAGCACATCCACTGAAATTATGTGATAGTTTGGATTACCACAGTCCAAGCTACAGAAAGTGGAAAATCGCTAAACTATCACTCCTGTTAATAACGCACAGTGTGTCCTAAAGGTTGTTTTTGTCCACCCTTTATATATATTCATTTCAATGAAAATGTGCAAAACGTAGTTAGGATGTGCTGACGTTTTGTTTTTTACCTACTTCGTGTTAAAAATTGCTGCTTACCATGTGACAGGACCATCACCTTTCAGCTTTGTGTTGCCTTTCTGATGGAGTTTTGCTGTGGGCGTTAACTTAAGAAAATGAATACCTAGGATCTTACCTCTTAACCTCCAGGGGTTCTCCCACCTCCGAGGTGGAAAAGGATTTACATTAGATCAAATTAATCTGCTACCTTACGACCACTTGTTCACAGTTGGTATGAGTAACTTACGTTGATTTTTGTTTATATTTTTGTCAAGACCAAATCCCACCCGTGCTGAGATGGAACATAAAATCCAATGCTATGCTTCCAGCTTAATTGACACAAGCGGATGAGAATGTTGAGACATTCCTAACTGGACCGGATGCCAATCCATCGCAAGTTGGCCTCCAACTTACAGCTGGTACCCATCATACAGCTGGGTTGACTGAAACAACTGGGGTAATGTGTCTTGCTCAAGGACACAAGAGCCAGATCTCGAACTTGCAACCCTCCAACTATAAGTCCCTTCTAAGTATGTGGTTTTCAATTATACATTTGAACTGAATAGAGCAATACATTGCCTTGGGATATTGGCGCCTTGTCTCCTTATGTAACACATATAAATTCTTATTTTGTTAACTTGTTCTTTTCTTAGTGCAAAACTACATAATGGGCTATTTGCAACCTCACCCACCGCGCCTCGGATATTAGCGTTTAAGTCTGTAAACTTTCTGATGCCTCACAAGGGTTCGTGCTTCTTTCTTTGGATGAAACAAACAAATATGGGGAAAGATATTTGATATATTAGGTATTATTTTTTATCTTTGCTCGTAAGGAAACCTGGAGTTTCTCCAAACACCACACGATACACTTCGTCTTCTCGCCCTCTATACCACTCTTCCTGTCAACGTTCTTCTATGGTCCTCTCTATTCTTTTCGTAATTATTTAATTTATCTTCCTTCTTTTTACTTCTTTCTTGCGTCCTTTGTTTCTTCGCAACTTTATTTTCAGTTTACTTGACTTTTGACAGTTTTTTTGTTTTTGTTTTTTGAGTTGCACGAAGTTTATAGCTTAAATACTCGTTAAACGTGTTCTGAATGAAAGGCATGATCGGCATAGCAAATGAAAGGTGTAGTTTGTTACTTGTGATGTACTGTGTTTCAAGTTGTTTCATTTAGTGTAGTTTGTTACTTGTGATGTACTGTGTTTCAAGTTGTTTCATTTAGTGTAGTTTGTTACTTGTGATGTACTGTGTTTCAAGTTGTTTCATTTAGTGTAGTTTGTTACTTGTGATGTACTGTGTTTCAAGTTGTTTCATTTGGTGTAGTTTGTTACTTGTGATGTACTGTGTTTCAAGTTAACGTGTTTGGAAATGTTTCATTTGTACTTCACTTAGGCGGAAGGGAAACCAATGCCGGGGGAGGGGAGATATCTTGTTACTTTATAAAGACCATCATAACGCGACTAAACTCATGTTTTATTTTTTTCTATAATTCCGTTAAAATAGATTTTGCTTTATCGCTTTATACTAAAACAAAGTAAAAGTTGCCGCCCCAATTAAGAATTTAAAAATGTTTAAGAAATACTTTGCGCTACTCCACCCATCCCTCCATAAAAAAGGGGGGTTAGGAATAAGACAGTAGAGGAAGTTATGTAGTTTCATTACGTAGAAAGTCGTATTGGGTAGCAGGTGGTTCGTTTTGTTGACTTTAATCAAATACCATGTTTGAAATATAACGAACGAGCAGTCGCAGTGACCACGTTTTTCAAGTTTGACTAATCTATCTGATACACATTACTGGAAAAAATATAATGTTGTTCTACTGAGCACATTCATATGAAATTACCGACGCTGAAATCTCATTTCAGTAACAATTTGGCGAAAAAGGTAATTACAGATAAAATCAAATTTTTGCTTTGAAACCTATACGCTGTTCTAAAACTCTAATGCGCATTTGGGGACAGAGGTTTTAACAGACCAGTATTGATGTCGTTATGTTTAGAAATAAATATTTTATTTTGTCTCTAGAGTTCTAAAAAAATTGTGAAGAAAAGTTTTAGAAAAGCATCTCGGCGAGAAGAGCAATAGTTAGATCTAATTAGCTGACGTACACACACACACACAGGTGTAGTTTGAAAGGAACTTCAATAGAAACACTGTTTTACAGTTCACTATTGCTTTTGCAGACATTTGTAACTCAAAAGGTCATTAAACAGCTTCACGAAATTTTATATTGATCACAATGTTGATCGTGAGCGAATTTCGGTAAAGGTAAAATACAAGGTATGAACAATTTCCAAATAGTCAGACTAGTTGTTAACGGGTGAAATTCTTAAGGGAATAAACTGTACCGAAAATTACGATTCTGTTGAATCACTGGCCCGGCATGGCCAGGTGGTTAGGGAGCTCGACTCGCAATCTGAGGGTCGTGGGTTCGAATCCCCTTCCCACCAAACATGCTCGCCCTTTCAGCGGTGGGGGCGTTATAATGTGACGGTCAATCCCACTATTCGTTGATAAAAGAGTAGCCCAAGTGTTGGAGATGGGTGGTGATGACTAGCTGCTTTCCTCTAGTCTATCACTGCTAAATTAGGGACGGCTAGGGCAGATAGCCTTCGTGTAGCTTTGCGCGAAATTCAAAACAAACAAACAAACTGTTGAATCACAGTAATATACACAGCGTGGTCACAAGTAAATAGACACCTAATGTTTCGTCATTTAATTGATTTATGTTAACTAATTAGTGTTTACAGAGCACTATATAAATGAAAATGGTCCGCACACTAATCATCTTGTG